TAGAAAAAATTTTTCCTTTATAATTATATTATAATTATAAAGGAAATATATATATATTTTTTTCCTTTATAATTCAAAAATAATAACATATATAATAAATTGTTCTTCTGTAGGACAATGTATTTGGAATTCATGGATTTGTGATGGAACAAAAGATTGTGAGAATGGTGAAGATGAAAAAGATTGTTCAGGTATCTGTGTTTTCTAGTTTTATATTTTCTTAAGAATTATTTTAAAATAGTCCATATATAATTTTTTAATCTATGTGTTAGCATCGTTTCATAGAATTGGCAATGTTTCTCATAAAGCCATCATAAATTAAATTTGTGTATAAACTGAATAATCTGATATTAATTTATATCAGTCATTTAACATTCATAGATTTAATTGTTTATTTTTTTATTTGTTTAAAATATTTCATATTTCTGATAATTTTTAAAAATATGTAAGTTATACGGCTATCTTAAATATAGATACAAAAGGAAATAAATTGAATTTCGCACTTGGAACTTTAGAATCAGTTGTTACAAATGCACATTTGGTTCTAACAACAGAAACAAATCCTGAAAAGTTTATACTAGAAAAGCTTACTTTTTGTAAAGTGGAATAGATTTAAATTTTTTAATATTTATTTCATATTATTTCCATTTAAGTTACAAAGTTTGTTTTTATAGAAACTTTTATTCTCCAACAAAAAAAAAAAAATACACTGGGTGACTTAGTAGAATGCAGACAACATAGACCTCAGTTTATTGTTTAGCCTCTTCAGATTCTACTGTTTTTTATTTCATTATAGGTTACCAGTTAAACAGGCAGTTAACAACACAGTTCAAAATTGATTGGTTCAATTTGTAATATTTTGCCAACTGTGCCTATACTTTTTACAATATGCCATAGTGAAATTTGATATATTTTACATGTTTTTCAGAAGCTGAGGAGGTTTAGTGGTAAGAAGATATTACAAGTTTCCAGTGCTAGCGAAGTAGATTTTATGAAATTTGATCAATTTATATGACTTAAGAATGGGGGTTATCAACAACATTCTCCTGGTCATAGTTTCCACTTTCATTATTTTTGTTAACTTTAAAAAATATATTATATTACAGTTTTGCTGTTAAGTAACTAACAAGAGCAACAAAATGGAAACTTTGACCAGGAGAATGTAATCAATAACACATTTATACATTATGCATACTGATCAAATTTTACCACAGCATATTGCATTTACCACTACATAAACACTGCTTAATCCTTAAGTGTCTTCACATGGAAAAAAATCAGAACAAAATAGACAGATAGGTATGTCTAAATAGGTGAACAGTAACTTGACAAACAGTGGCTGTCATATGTCATGAGTTGTTTATATATGGCAGAAAGGGGTCCTCCATTTGACATGATCTTGTGTACAATGTGATCAAATTTTTTTTCATCCCAAGGACTCCATTATGTTGAGTCATCAATATATTATTTTTTTTCATTGTAATAGACATGATGAATAATACATTTTTTATATGCTGTATGTTAGTGAATTTGATACTAACATTTCTCATTTTTTTTTTTACATTAAATATATTTCATAAATCAAACAGCAAATCCTTCTGTTAGTGCACCATTCAGATATATGGAAATGATGAAGAAAAGATTTTGTTTATTCCTGCTTTAGCACTATGAGTTGCCAAACTGTGTTTCACACTGTTTAAGTAGATCAAGTTGTCCCTAGCTAATGTACTACAAGGTGATTCAAAAAGTTACTTTAAGATTGAATTCATGATTGATTCATTTCCAAGTGAAGTGGCTAAATCATGAATAATCATTTCATTTAATTATCATTAATCATGAATCATTCAGCTATCTAAATTGTTTTAACCATTCTTAAAAAATAATAATAGAAATATATCTTAACTNAAAGTTACTTTAAGATTGAATTCATGATTGATTCATTTCCAAGTGAAGTGGCTAAATCATGAATAATCATTTCATTTAATTATCATTAATCATGAATCATTCAGCTATCTAAATTGTTTTAACCATTCTTAAAAAATAATAATAGAAATATATCTTAACTTGACTTTTGGACCATTTTATATTTAAAATATTTAAATATATTTTATTTATGAAAAGTTTTAATTATCTATTCTAGCTGGTGTAATTTGTTTGACAAGCCAGTTTCGTTGTGTGCATAGTAGCGGTTGTGTATCTCCTTCTGATCTGTGTGATGGAAAAGCTGATTGTGGAGATGGCAGTGATGAATGGGGTTGTGGACCAAAAGCATGTGTGTATTATAAAAAATTTTTTCATATTGTAAAATTGTAAAATTCTTATATTCATATATATTGTTTTACTTTCATTAATAGCTACAGAAAGTCATCATACATGCGAATCTGATACACAATTTAAATGTAATAGTGGTGAATGTATCCATATCATTAATTATTGTGATAACAGAGAAGATTGTTATGATGGAAGTGATGAACAGAATTGTCCTGAAGAATGTATGTATATTATTCTTCTGTTTCAAGAGTTGATATCTCAATAAAAATTTAAAAAATTAACTATAATATTTTAAATGTTGACATGAAAAACATAATTCAAGCATAATTTGCACAATGTAGAAATAGAAGAGAAAGTAAAAACTAAATTCATTATCTTAATCACTAGGATTTTCCTACTTTAAAACATAAACAAATCTCTTAATATATATTTTTAAATTAAAAAGTACATAAAAGGAATTTATTTTAAGCTAGAATATTATTTTACCTTTAATAGTTTTTTATTTTTTTGTTACAAATGTGATGCAAATTATGTTAATTTATTAATATACAGTTTATCTTTCCTTGTTTGTATGATGTAAGACAAAAATTTACAATTATAACATTTTAATAATTTTTTTTATTGTTTCTGTTCTTTATTATATTTATTTATAACAAAGTAAAAACCAAAAGGAACACCTATAAAAAAATTTATATCTTACATGAAAAAAATAATACATAAATTAGTTTGTTTATATAAAATTATTTGTCTTAAATTTTCTAGAGAAAATGTGAATATCTTTAAATATTGCTATTGTTATTATTCATCTCTGTCTATTTCAAAGTACTGTAAGGTCTCATTTTATGCGGTGGATACGTTCTACAGAAAAGCGCATATAAAAAATTTGCATAAAAAAAGACTATTTGCCTTGAAAAAGTAGGGATACGTTCCGTAATTTTCTAAAATTGCATAAAACCAAAACAACGAGTTAAAATTAACTTAAAACCGCATAAAAAAGTTTGCAGAAATTAAAAGAAATAGGCTGCTTAATAAATTACTTCGAATGTCTGAAAGAAATTCATATAAAAGCTTAAAATAAACTTGTATTCAAACTTAATTCAGTTTATTTTATTGAAAAGTAATATAGTTTTACATTTTTTAATCATTACCGCTATCTGATAATGGTTTGCACCGTTTGTGAAGTGGTTCCAAATCACCTTCATCATCAGAAGAGACTGTCTCTGCAATAGATATTTGCGGTAAAGGCGATGGATTTTCACAAACTTCATTCTCGTTCTGTGTAGCTCTTTCTTTTCTGACAATGTAATCAGTAATTAAACTTTGCGATGACGATTCTACTAATTTTCGGCCAGCTAGTGTTCACCCTACTTCAAACCCTTGTCCTCCCACGACGTCCGGGAAATCCAACTACAGATGTGTTCAAGGTCATCCAGATGTGTAAACAATGACTCATCGGTGTTAAATTTCACAGAAGGCCGAGACAAAGTTAAACTTTGAAGCTTTTTCTTCAAAATTAATGCATTTCTTTCGTTTTTTTTTCAGTTTTAAGTATTTTTTATGTTAATCACACTTATATCAAAAATTGCTAGGAACTAAAGCAATTAAGGTAGATCTAGCTGTCCTTTACATCCCTAAACGTTATATGTCAGTGGAACAAATGGAGTGAGCTTTGAGCGTTCCACGATTTTTGGAGATTGTCTATACGCGGGCTTCCTAAACAAGCCTATATGTATGTTTGTCCAAGAAATTTTTGGATGAAATACAAACCGCACAACTTCAAAATCGCATAAAAATAATCCGCATAAAAAGAGACCTTACAGTATATAG